CCGCAGGGCCAGCGCCGGCCCCTCCCTTCGGAGAGCCGGGCGAGCGACCTCCACCCTCGGGGAGGCGGGTCTCGGTCCGCAGCCCCGACGTGGGGTCCCTTCCCGATGGTCGGCGCCGGCAGCCCGGTTACTCTGTAGGCGCCTCCTGTCTCCCTCAGGACTCGGGCAGCCTTCGTTCTCCCTCCGACGCTAACCCGGCTCCGGGCAGCTAGAGAGCGCCCGACTGACGGTGGCTCTTAGCGGAGGCTCCGCCTGAGGGCATCACCCTTCTCCCTCCGACTCAGAACCCGTCCCGCCCTAGACAGAAGTCCAGCTCTTCGGGCAAAACCGAATTCACCCCACGATCTGTTGCGTGGAAATTAAACTCTTGCCTCCTTCAAATTACAACGACTTCTCAGAAACGAGTTCCTGAAAATCCTAGGCCTGGAAGGAAGGAAGTTTCCTTCAACCCGCGCGCCCCTCTCCTGGGAGCGGGTGCTTGCCGAACCCTGTCAGGAGGACAACCTCTTCCAAAGGTGCAGCCTCATGGTGCCCTCATCCCTGAGAAGTTATCTCCCCGCCGTCCCCTGTTACCATTACTTTGCCAACACACTCCCATTTTATTTGGAGATGTCAAAACAAACTCCCACCTTCCTCAACTTATTTAGCAAAACTTAGGTACCATTTACTATGTGCAGTGCAAGACATTTATTAACCGATTTACAAATATAACTTATTTAAACCGCAAAAGAATGTTATTAGGTAGGCACTATTATTACCTTCATTTCCCAGATGAAGCACAGAGAGGTTAAGTGACTTGTCTAAGGTCATAGAGAAAATAAAGTAGGGGAGTTGGGATTCCTACTCAGCAGTCTGGATCCAGTCTGCATTCTTAACCTCTGTTCTGCCTCAGTTGGGGACTACCATCTACCTGTACTTTCTGTTAGTTACTCACCAAGTGCAATTTCAAACTCTCTTTCTCCTTCCTCTTAGTTTACTAGTGCCCTAGAACTAACTTGTCTTCATCCTTCCTGTGGCTCCTTCTGATCTCCATGCAGCCAATAGAGAATTATCTTACCCATTTCTACAGTATTGGGTCACTGTTCCTCCCTTCAAAAAAAAAGTTATTACTCACTGCTTGGTTTTTTTTTTTCCCCTAATATTGAAGTGTAGTCAGTTGTCAATCTGGTGTACAGCATAGTGTTTCAGTCATACATACACATATATTTGTTTTCACATTCTTTTTCATTACAGATTATTATAAGATATTGAATATAGTTCCCTGTGCTATACAGTATAAACTTGTTGTTTACCTATTTTATATATAGTAGTTAGTATCTGCAAATCTCAAACTCCCAATTTACCCCTTCCCACCCTCTTCCCCCCGTATCCATAAGTTTGTTTGCTGTGTCTGTTAGTCTGTTTCTATTTTGTAGATAAGTTCATTAGTGTCTTCTTTTTTCTTTCTTCTTCTTTTTTTTTTAGATTCTGCATATGAGTGATATCATATCGTGTTTTTCTTTCTCTTTCTGGCTTGCTTCACTTAGACAATCTCCAGGTCTATCCATGTTGCTGCAAATGGCATTATTTTATTCTTTTTTATGGCTGAGTAGCATTCCATTGTATACTGCTTGTTTTTTCATGAGGATAGTTGGCTCATGAAAGTATTTGAAGGAAGGGCAAGCTGGCGACTTTACTTATTTCCACCTGCACAGCTTCCTTCTCTGGGACTCATTGTTAGCACAGTTCTCTCAGTGCCATCCCTGGGCATGACTATCCTTAGTCATGCTTTTTGTCCCTTATTGCATTATAATCATGACCATCATGCTCCTCTCTTTTCCTATTTTCTTGAGCTCTTAAGGGTAAATGACTCATTTTGTTATCTTTACTTTTATAAAAACTGAGGACTAACTGATATTCTAAATGCATTATTAATGGGTATTAATATTTGGTTTTCATAAAACAAAATGTTATTAGTGTTACTGAGGATGCTGTTTCAGTATTTTTCTAAGAAATTTGGCTACTGAGCTATAGATGGCAGCCAAGCAAAGCTGGAGCAGTTGGGATTACCAGAGTTTTTAGGAAGGATTCTTTATCAGAACATCTCCACTGTTGTCATGAGTTGGTTGTGATTTTCAATTGCTGTTATTCTTATATGATCAATGACTTAATTTAGTGTTATCAGTTTAGTTGGTTGTGATTTATTATGTCAACCCTTCACTGAATAGTGATGCGTATTTGTTCAACTGAATTTTGGCCTGTAATTTTCCATTATCTTGACTTAAGGATATATGTATCATGTTTAAAATATGTTACTCATTCTCCCTAAAATTTGCTTCGTTATTATTACTTAGTTCTTTTGGGGTTTTGTGGGTGTAGATGGATTAGGAATCTTTTGTCCTAAGGGGACATGGTAAAAAAAAAAAAGTTTAAGAACCACTGCGTTGGTTTTAGTTGCTTTTCCCGGCTGTTTTATCATTACTAGTGGGTTTTCATTTTTGACCTTGTCTTGGCAGATAACCCTAAATCTTACTATCAGACCCAAGATTCAGTCATTTGCACATCCTATAATATAAGTAGTACCCACTGTCTTTGTCTTTAGTCTGGCTTGTTCTCACCCATATTCATAGGGGATGATCTCATCTTTTTTGCTTATTCCATTCAGAGGCAGTGGCATGCACAGACTTGATATTTCAGATCCCAGGCCTTATCCTGGGTGCACCTCCATTAGTGTTATCTCCTGGTTTTACATCACAATCATTAGACAAGTTTGATTAAGGCAGTCGGCCCTCCTCCCTAACTTTACCCTTAGTCTCAAAACTGTACTCCTCTTCATCGTCTTTCCTAATTCTTCCATCTTTTGAGGTAGCATTTTTAAGGCACCAGAGTCTTAGCTGTTTCTGACATAGGTTTTATAACTGAAGAGGGACTAAAGAATAGAGGATAACAGTAAATTGATTGCAGATATAAGATTAATATACACATCCCTAAAATTCTTGCTTTTCACAAAAATCCACTTAGCTACATCGCCTAGTCAGACTCTTTTTCTTTGCCAAGTATTACATTACTTGCTTTCCCTGCTGTGGTACCAAATTATTCTTCCAGTTTTATCCCTTTTTGTTTGAGGAGCCACAGTGACTTGACTTTTTCACCATATAGCAAACCTTATTTTAATTTTGAACAGTATGTATACTGTTAGTTTATTCCCATATATCATAAGGGAGTGCCTCGCGTTTTTTATTGAAATTCTGAAAATCCCAGGCATATCCATGCGTATAGAGGCTGTTGCCTAGCAAATTCTTTTGGGAAAGCAGCCATCTCTTTCTTCTCTGTCTTCATATCAAAAATTATTTTGTTAGTTGCAAGTCCTAATTTTGCAGATGAGGAAAGAGGCCCATAAGATGTTAGGGCCTGACTTTTTAAAAAAATAATATTGATTCCTGCTTTGTAGTACTAATACTAAAATATTGATCACAAATCACTCATGAATAATAGTGCATATTTTCATTTTTCTAATCCCATCTATATATCTCTAGTCTTTCATATCACTTATTGAGTAGAAGCCATTTCCTTGCTTTGCTCTGGGTGCTAGCAATTAAAGTTCAGTCTTAGTTTCTATTTAAAATTTTGTTTTTAAACTTTAAACTTTAACAGTGAAATAAATGCATTTAAAAACAAATGTAAATTAAAAAGATTTGAGCTTTATTGAAATATAATTCATATACCATACCTTTCTCCCATTTAAACTGTCCGATTCAGTGGGTTTTATTTTTTTTTCTGGTACATTCAGAGTTGTGCAACCATCATCACAATCTAATTTTAGAACATTCTTATCACCCCCAAAAGAAACCCCATACCTATTGGTAGTCAGTCTTCATTCTGTCCCCCTTCCCCAGGCAGTCACTACTTTCTGTCTTTATGGATTTACCTATTCTGAACATTTCTTGTAAATGGAATCATACAATAAGTGTTTTTGTTGTGACTTGACATAGTATTTTTAGGGTTCATCCATATGGTAGCTTGTATTGTTACTTCATTTCTTTTCATTGCTGAGTAGTATTCCATTGTATGAATATACTATATTTTATGTATTCCATAGTTAATGAACATTGGGTTGTTTCCATATGTGGGCTGTTATGAGCAGTGCTTTTATGAACATTTGTATACTAGTTTTTGTGTGCACATATGCTCATTTCTCTTGGGTATGTATCTGGGAGTGGAATTTATAGTTCATATGATAACTGAACATTTTGAGGAACTGCCAAACCATTTAACAAAATGTCTGTACCATTTTGCTTTCCCACCAGCAATGTATAAGGGTTCTGGTTTCTTCATATCCTTGTCAGCACTTTTTATTATCTTTTTTTAGTCATCTTAGTGGATATGAAGTTGT